AAAAAAAAGAATCTTTGAAAATTTAAAAATCTTGTTCTTCTCACGAAAGAATTTTAGCGGTTATTTTTTGAGACTGAAAGTTTGAAAAAAAAGTGATTTTGGGAAAATAAATGAGAATTGACAAAATTTATTGAAGCGGAAGTCGATTATTCAAACATTTCAAAAGTTTTTGTCCATTTCGACTTAATTGCTTCCCATAACAACGGCTATATTATTATGTATTCCAGGAAATTGCCATAAAACTAAACATGAGATTTGTTTTTTCTTTTTTTTTATTTACTTCTAAGCAACAAAAAAAAATCTGTTATTCGGTTAAAAAATTCTGTGGATTCACAAGCTAAAGAAAAGATGAAAATGCAGTAGGAACTACAACAAAAGTTGGAACAAAAACGAACTATATTAGGACTCTAAATGCATCTTATTTTTTTTTTTTGATCATTCCCACAGATTAAGTTAAAAATGGAATTTTATATTTCCACAGATTTTGTGGAGGAAAGATGGCAAAATACTTCGATCAGAAGAAAAATTATTGATTATTAACAATGGTCGAACAATATGGGCTAATAGAGCAGAACCATACCACGAAGGGAAATACACTTGCGAAGCCAAAAACAAAATTGGCAGTGCAAAAAGAGATTTCTTCTTGAAGCTTACAGGTGTCTGATAACCAACTTACTTTAGTACGAAAAAAAAGCCGTATGGTATATTAAAAATAAAATTAAACAAGATGAAATAGTATTTCGTTTTTACTGTTTGCAGATCCACCGGTTGTGGATCAATCATTACAACGGATTGACGTTGAGGTTGGCGCTTTCGTTGTTTTGATGTGCAAGGTAGTTAGCGGTGCTGGAAACATAACGGTACGATGGATGATTGACGGCAAACCCGTAGAAAATGGACGGTATACTCAGACTACTACGGTAAGAGAAATGCAAAGTTCTGCCATTACTTCACAACTTTAAAGTAAATTTGAGAGTTGTTCCCCTATGATCTAATCAACAGTATAGACTGTTTTAAACAATTATCTGACGGTCTGCTGTGCTGACGGTGTATCTGCAGATTGATGACCGCCGAATCCAGATAAATTCCGCTCGACTCAGTGATGCAGGTAGCTACGTTTGTATTGTAGAGAATGAAGCTGGCAAAACGCAAAAAGAATTTACCCTATCTGTCTTGCGTAAGTTTATCTTGTTTTTTTTTCCATTTTATATTATAATAGAATCTTCTTTATATATATTCCAAAATCAATAACAAATAGAAAGAACACACTCACATACAACATAAATCTCTTCTTCTCTTTCTTAAAAAAAAGCAACCATAACAAGAATAATCACTTCAATGCATTGTCATTGTTCGGAGCGTTATTTACAAGTGAAAAGAAAAAGAGAAAAAGAGAAAAACAAGGTGAAAAAAGCATTGAATGCCTTTAAGCAGACTAAAGACAATAAAAATCTTTTTTCCTATTTTTTCTTCTGCGTAATTTTTAGAACGTCCACAGTTTTTGGATACAAGCTATCCTCCGCCATCTATTATTGTTGGTCACCCGCTGACACTGGATTGTTCGGTTACTGGAACGCCAAAACCAGCTGTTAATTGGACTAAGGTAAGATTTTCCTGCTGTGCGGGTTTTTATAAAAGGCCACAAAGCTATTATTAAAAATTGTAACTCAGTGACAGCGCGACAAATATGTCATTAGGGAATAAATGAAGAAACAAGACAAACAACAAAACAAAAAAAGTGGAAAAATGGAAAAAATTTGTCTAATAACTCATAATATATCATCTGTGTGTCAATACAGCTAATAAAAAAATGATAATAGTAGTGAGAAATAAAGAAGGCCTCAATGAAGCGCAGGCACATATACCATAACGATTACACTTTTTGCCACCAGCACAGCTGAGTCCAACTCGTAGAATCGGGTTATTGTCTTTGGAAACAATCTTATACTTTCGGAATGCATTTTGGCACTGTCGGGCTGCTGGCCTCTGAAACACTTTAAGTCTGCAAAAAAAGAAACCAACTACAGATTATTGAAAAAGTTCGCTGAGACTATAACCGACCATTGTATGATCCTGACAGCATAGCTCACAGCGATCATCTGAAGCAAACAGAGTATCCGGGTCAATCTCTGGACATTCGCAAACACGTAAATGTGATGCAAATCGAGCGCACGGATTTTCACAGACATCGTCTACACAAATCTTCTTTTCACTAAAAGGAGAAAGTGATTTCTGAATATGCGGGCAGGAAATTCGCAATTATCTGGAGAAAGAGTTCAAGTATCTTCAGAATAAGAAGCAGTTACGTTACTTTTCTGTTCGACAATGACAGTCAACTGGAAAAATGAAGTTTCTTTAATGGTTATCAAGTTAAACATACTTCCGATCACAGAAGTTTCCTTCCTGTTTTGTACGACAGACACTGTTCGAGCATTTCCCTTGCATACAAAGCCTTGTCGGGTCATTGTCATCACACTGAAGCCCTTCCATTTCATCGCCACGCCGCCGACATCTGGCACAAGCATCACTCTCCCACCTTTCACCGTTACTCCTAAAAAAGCACAAAAATGTAGTGCTGCGCTAAAGATTTCAGCTGTGTACAAGTATTTGGAAACAATCTCAACATCCAGTATTTTCAACTAAACTAATAAGATAAAAGAATATTTTTTTTCAAATTAATGTGTAAATACTATCTAAAATTCCAGCTGTTTTAAACAAATATGAGGCGTTCAAACGACGGTAGAAAAAGCCTTTTTTACAAATTTAAAAGTACTTCAAAATATTATATTCGTGTGCCGGCAAGCACTTGGAATATGAGTTACCACAGCATAAGTAACAGTTATTATCGTCTTCAGAATCGCATTTACACTCTAACATTCCACGGGTTGAACATGCTGATACGCATCTGTAAACTGAGCTTTTTTAAAAAAACTGAAAAAAAAACTTTTTCTTCATTAACAAC